GAGTTAAGGGAGCCAAGAGCACTGAAGAATGAACGACCAAATACAAGTTAAGGCCACGAAGTACTTTTATTCCAGAATGCTGCCTTTGGGTCACTTAGACTCTCCTTGGAAAGTGAAACTCAGACCTTTGTGCATATCTGGGAACTGTCTGATTCTGTTGGACCTGAGACAGGGAACTGTAAATGCCATCACCTGCACATTAGATCCATGTCCCTTCTAGCTGGTTAAGGCCACTCGAGAGGTGTCATATAGATGAGTCCAACATTAGTGAATTCTTCCTTGTTGGAGGGGATGTTACTGGCTCTTTTTAAAGGGGTGCTAGTGTGGCCCCTATTCAAGAAACCATTATTGGATTCTACCATTATGGATAATTTTTATCCAGTCTCACACCTCTCCAATTTAAGAAAGGTGGTTGAGAAGGTGGTGATGCAATTCCAGAGGATGTTGGAGGAAACGGATTGCGTGGATCCTTTTCAGTTAAGTTAAAGCCTGTGTATGGGATCCACATGGCATTAGTTCATTCATGAATGATCACTGGTAAAAGCAGTATAGAAGTGGTGCATCCATCCTTCACTTCTTGATCTCTCACCAGCTTTCAGTACTATTGACCATGGAATCCTTTTGGGCCAGTTGGGAGTGGGTGGCGGAATTTCATGCTGGTTCACTTCCTTCCTCCAAGGCTGGTCCCAAACTGGTGTTAGTAGGAAGTGACACATTCAGCTCGCTGCCATTGCTTTGTGGGAATTTGGGATTTTGTTCTCTCTCTGCTACTTTTTCAAATGTACATGAAACTGCTGGGTGAGATAATCCATTACCATGGGATGAGGTATCACCAGTATGCTGAGGATACACAATTATATATCTCCATCCTGAATGAAATGAGTTGATATTGTGGATGTTCTTTCATAATGCCTGTAGGCCTGGATGAGGAACAATAGACTTCAGCTGGTTTATCAGGACAACCCTGGTAAAATGGAGTAACTGTGGCTTCTCTCTGTCCAGGTGTTTTGTCATCTTTGGACTTGAATGGAGAGGTACCATTTCAGACAGATACAATGTGTAATCTATGGTTCTCTTGGAATTATGGTTCCTGCCCAAAGAGCAGGTGGCAATCATGGCTAGCTCAATGTGCACCAGTTATGCTCTTTCCTGGATAGGGTGGCTCTCTACTTGATCATTCATGCCCTGGTCATCTCTCATTTGCATTTCTGCAATGCACTCTACTTTGAAAAATATCTGGAAGCTTCTTCTTGGTATAGAATGTAGGCACATGAGCTACATGTGCCAAAGAAGAGCACATGTAACATCATTGCTAAGCGAATTATGTTGGGTGCCTGTTCATTTCCAGGTCCAATTCTGGTTTGTGACCTATAAAGCTCTACATGGCATGGGGGAAGGCTATCTATGGGACTGGCTTCATTCCATTACATCAGACTGTCCCACCTAGTGGGAAGCTCAAAAGAGCATGCAAGCTGCAGGGCTGGGTGGTGCCTTAGTCTTACTAAGGTGAACAGATTTTAACATTGATAAAGAGGGACACCATTGACCGGCAAGGGGGGGGGGGGATGTTCATGATTAAAATTTTAAAAAAAAATCAGAACTTTTTAAAAACGCTGCGGGACGCGGGACAAATTGTTCAAAAGTGGGACTGTCCCGCCAAAAGCGGGACATCTGGTCACCTTACCTAAGACCCTTCTTTTCACCTTTTCAATGGAGTTAATTATTCTTGTCTCTTTCCAAAATTTTAATTCTAAAATTTTAATTGTAACAGCTTAATCTTTATATATTGTTTTTATATTTTAATATTCTATTGTACAACAACCAGAATGCCACTTTGAAAAAGAAATATGAAAAACAAACAAACCAACAAGGAAACAACTAAACAATCAAACCTAAAACAGTTCTTTTACACTTTTCTTTTTATTATTTACTTATTTGTTTAATTAATTAGCCACCTAACTCCAGTGGGCTCTGCTTTCCTTCATGGAAACTAACACTCAAAGTAAAGAAAACATTCAAGGACTAAGCAAAAGAAATTAAAGAAATGAGATAAAAGAAATAGGAATGCTATTCTCAGTTTTTTCCTATACATTCCTGTGTTGCAGAGTATTATGTCATCACACCCATACTCCAATTCCTTCTGTTTTAAATTTAGATTCAAAAACTTTTCCCTGGCTTAAAGGAGACTCTTCTAAGTGGTTCTGGACCTTTTAGGTATATTGGACAATGTATAGTTTATAGTTTGGACAAAGGGAAAATATTTGGAAGGAAACAGACTAAAGAAGATGAGGAACATATTTTATGAGTATAAGTAATCATTCAAGGCTGCAGAAATGGCTTTTCTTCCTATGTTTGGATCAACAGATTCAGCAGTGAAGCATGTAAGAAAGGCAGGAGAGCAAATCTGGAGACTTTACACAAACTCAGCAATTTCAGCAGCTGCTCAGCCCATCCATCTCCACTCCACCTCCCCAAGAGCTTTAAGGTTTGCACATATCCCAGTGTACTTGCTACACAGCACCTGCTTAAGAAACCCGACCATCCCCCTGAGAGGCTGCAAAGTCAAAATATCTCCTGGACTGATGTTCAGCTCTTCCCACTTCAGGATGTGTTATGATAAACTTAGCTGGCTAAGGACAGCTGAGAAGGAAAAGTGAATCTAAAAAAGGATAGACGTGGAAGCAGGTTTGGAAATAGAGCTCAGGATTGATTCACAAACCATTTTCTCCACAGCAATAATAAGGCATCATGGGGTTGTAACAAGTGATGGGATTCAACCAGTTTGCACCTATTCGGGACAACCAGTTGTTAACTTTCTAAACAGTTCAGAGAACCGGTTGTTGGAAGAAATCCCCTTTTGTTTTTTTCTACTTCACAGGGCTAATCCTGTAGGAAAGGCAGGAAGGAAACATTCTGGTGTTGTTTCTAGCCTAATCTTTACCGCCCTGCTTACAGAAACTGCCTCTCTGGTTAACCCTTGTTACATTGTAACAGTTAAGGTGAAGCGCCCATCGACCTGAATGATGTTGAATTGGTCACGTCCAGCCAGTCACATCACTGCCGAGCCACACCTACCCAGCTGGTGATTAGGGCAGAGAACTGGTTGTTAAATTATTTGAATCCCACCACTGGTTGTAATATATGCTCTTTTTACAGTCAAATAAGAGGAGGTTTTGTTCATGGGAAATAATAGGCATAGAAGGCAAGGAATCCTGCCAAGAAATAGCTTTTAACTTCTGTCTTCCTGTGCTGAAGACTCAGAAACTATTGGAAGTACATCTGTTGTTTATATTAAAATAAAAGATTGATCCTGTTCAGTAATAGGAGCTTTCGGCCTCTGGTATGTTAAAGTTACAAGATAAGTTCATCTCGCCCTATTATATGCACTCTCATAAAGATGTACTTTACAAGTACATGTTCTCTACAGCAATAGGGAGATGTACATGAAGGCAAGGCAGTTAAACCCTTCACATAAGCACATTGTTTAGTGATAGGATATTTTTAGTAGTTCCTTATCCCTACCAATGGCGGTCATGATAGGGGCCTCCCCAAAGACGTTTTGCAATTGAGCGTCCCCTGGGCAACAATGTTGTCACTGGCAAATCCTTTCAACTCAGAAGCTTCTTTAGTCAGAGATAACTACTAAGAAGAGCAACCTCAAAATATGCCCTTTCTCAGGGCTCAAATTGACATGATCACAGTTAGCATGAAAGGAATATCTTTAGTCAAAGAAATCCTGCTTCAAGAATTTTGTGACAAACATAAATGTGACCTATTATGTTTGCAAGAAACTCATAGGGAGGTAAACCAGTGGTTCCTGGAATACAATTGTGGGAAGCCACCATCATACCTTCTAGAATCTAGAAGAATGAAATATTTTGAGGAATATTAAAAAGGCAGAATATTATATTTCCCTAGATGAGAAATGGAGAAATGTGTTTTTTTAAAGACAGGAAGCAGACTCAGTCTTTGTTAATAGGCCCCAGCAGATATTTTGTGCCCATTAAGAAAGATTGGGGCAGCCTATTCAGAAACCAGTCCCAGGCTCCCTGCTCCTAAGCAAAAACTGAGGAGGCCACTATTTAGAAATACAGATTTGGTAATCCATTCATGACAGGTATTTTGAAGCAAAGGCAGAATGGTAGGATTTGAAGCAGCCTGGAGAGTCCAAAGCCCCTTCATTGCATTAACTCCAAAGCAGTCCAGTCTTCAGGAACTCAGATAAACAATAAGCCAGAGGTTGACCAAGATAAGCTCAGACAAACATCTAGGATTTGCATTTCCTCTTTTGCCTTTACAGCCAGCTATGACCCCTACATAACCCCTACACGACCCCATAGGCATCTGACAACAGCCAATAGAATATTAAAGAACTTGTTCTTGCACAGGAACAGGAAGATCAAATACAAAGCCCAAAGAAGGTATAAAATCCCCCCACTCTCAACTCCATTTTGTCAGCTGCACCAGAACCATAAACGCTGGTGGTTCTGTTCATCATTAAGCCATTTTTCCAATCAGCCTCCATGTTTCCAGTGACTTTCTCCCAGCTTGGAACTGAATCAAATTGATATTTCTTCCAACTCAATTACTTAATGACAATGTCACCAGCAATATGGAAGCACAGAGTTTGCTAGAACTGATCTCCATATGTTGGTTATGGCAGTGATAGAAGAAAATAATGTAGAAATATTGATAGCTGAGCTCAGTGACTGCAGAGTGACATCTGTCTATAAACTACCACTTATAAAGTTTTCATTCACTGAACCACCAAACATCCGTAACAAACCAGTTAAATTTATAATAGGTGACTTCAATTATCATAATAATCTGTGGGGCTATGAAGATAACAATGAAAACAAAGAGACCATAGTAGAATGGGTGGAATCTGACCAACTATAACTTATCCATGAAACCAAACAACCAGTGTCCTTTAACAGTGGTTGATGGAGGATACATTACACCCCTAACCTTATTTTCCTATGTGAGAATATAACGCATTAATGCTTAAAGTCAATAGGAATGCCAATATCAAAGATCCAACATCGACCTATCCAATGTGAGATTACTGCGGCTGGCTTACCACAAATTGTGAAAATCAGATTTCAAACTACAAAAAAATATAAACAGAGGATAGTCAGGAACAAAGAATGGAAGACGAGAAATCTGACACTCCTCTTTACTATAGGAGAGCTGGAAGTGGCAAAAGACAAACTTAAGAATGACAAAGCAGCTGGTATTGATGAATTTTGGGTTTGAGCGGATTAAACATTTTTGACCTAAAACAAAAAAAAGTTTTCTCAACCTCTAAAACAGATGTTTAAATATTGTTCAAATACCCAAGATATGGAGTGATAACCATACTTAACCAGACAAGCGATCCAAGAAGCCATGGCTCATATTGTTTCTCAGTTATTATATATAAAGTATTTGAATGTTTAATCCTGAACTGATTATCTGCAATAGTAGAGCACCTGCTTATACCACACAAGTTGGCTTCAGAGCCAGCAAAAACTTTGCAGCTCAAATTCTCAACCTAACACAATACATAGCTTTGAACTGAAGAAAATCACAGGAATGGTATTCAGATCTCACCATGGCTTACGATACAGTCAACTATGCAGCCCTGTTGAAGAAAGTCCTTTCACTTTACGAAGGATTTTAAATTCACAAAAATTATAGGATGCCATTATCATAGATACTACAGATTTATGTCAATTTTCAGGAACAACACTATTGATGGAGAACCCTTCTGCAGGGCAGAAGTGCAGGAGTGTTAGCTCCTACGCTGTTTAATGTATACACCAATGATCAACCACTGCTGGAAGCTATTGGGAGTTTGCTTACATCAATGAACTGGCAATAACAGTGTAGAGCATAACTTTCAAGGTTGTTAAGATTTTTTTAAATGTAAATACAAAGTTGGGATTGCTGAAATGCCACCCCGAGAATCCATCAGAGAAAGGAAATAAGCAAGGGCAACAACGGAAAGGAGGGAGGATGAGGAGGGAAAGGAAGAAATGGTAACGCAGAGGAAGTAAGGGAGGGGAAATAAGAGTAGGAGAGAGGGGAAGAAGGAGGAGAAAAGAGGAAGGGGGGAAAAGAGAGGGGAAGAAGAAAAGAGGAAGGAGAGGAGGAAAGAAGAAGGCAGAGAAGGGAGGTTAAGACGAAAGATGCAGGGTTGTTGCAAAATAAGATGGAGACATGGGGTGACAAGAAAGTGACCCAAACTATAGTTTCTATATTTGTAAGAAGATACTGATAAATGTTAATGTTAATAGATAAATGTTAATAGTACTTATAAGAATGTATATTTATGAATGTATTTGAAAGGAAAAAATAAAAACTTTTTAAAAGAAAAAAGAAAAAAATGACCAAGGCTCTGGTCACATACTTCAAGGATAACCGGTTGAAGACAAACTGCCTAAAGACACAACTTTGTGCTTTCTACTTGAAAAACCATAGGGCATTAAGAATACTCTAGGTATGATGGAATGGAATAGAACATTGTGTTTTTCCAAAGTATCTGGCAGTAATTCTGGTCTGCTCACTTATCTTTAAGAACCACTGTTTTAAAACCAGACAGAAAATATTGACTCCAATACAAAAGGTGTATTATCTAGCTAATATCCCTCCTTCAAAATTCCACCAGGAAAGTGCTATGCAGAAAGAATGAGTTAAAATGACATTTAAAGAAATACATTATTATAAGGCCAAGAGTGAGATCAAGAAACAGTTTCCTCAAAACTTCTGTCTCTCCTAACAATCGGTCACCACATATCACCTTGGAATTAGGGAAGGCAAGTAAGGAGCTATTAGGAAACTGAGCATAACCACACAATTGTCACCTGATCAAGAACAATCTTATCCTCTATGGAAATCAATGAATAGACTGGGCACCAAGGTAAGGAGATCAAAGGACAATCTAAAAAAATGGGGTTTCCCTAGAAGATATTCTGTGTAAATGTGGAGAACAATCCATCTCACATGTGCTCTGGTGTATACAATGACCTTCAACATGTACGCAGGAAGACATCATGCTGGTAAAAAAAATGCTGTTGGTGTGGCGTGATACTGGCAAAATGTCATTTCATTCCTATTTATTTTATATGCTTTTTACATGTGCTATACTTTTATGACCTATTTTATATATATTTTATTTGTTCAATATTTAAGGCTGTATGTTTATAATTTGAAGGTGCTTCTGACACGAATAAAGAAGAATCTGCACCAATGCTCATGTTAAAACTTAAGGTAAGGAGACCATTCCAATGATTCAATTTATAGTTGGTTTGATCCAGTGGTTAAAGTACCAGGTTAGAAACCAGGAAACTGGGAGTTCTAGTCCTGCCTTAAGCATGAAAGCTTGCTGGATAACTTTGAGCCAGTCATTCTCTCTATGTCCAATCTACCTCATAAGGTGGTTATGAGGAAAATAAGGATAGAGGAGGCAGCATTATGTATATTCACCACTTTGAGATATGTATAAAAATAATAAATATGAAATAAAATAATTAAACAAATAACTTTTGAAACAGATTTTGCATTTCTAAATTTTGACTTTTCTCTCTTGAATTGAAATGCTTCAAGGAACTGATCTGTTATGGCAGGGATGTATAACTTTTGCCCTAATATCCCAAAGGTGCTTTTTCAAGAGGCAACTGAAGTTTCTTGAATGAGAAGCAAAACATCTTCAAAGAAAAACTGGAATGTCCAGTTATCTCTTGAAAAAGCACCTTTGGGACAATTATGACTTGGATGACAGTAAAGCTCCATAGACATTTAGTTTTGCCCTAATGCCAAGCACTGCCCTTCATAGTATACTGCCAACTTTCAGTGGTGAAAATTAGTAGCTTCATATGGTAAAAATAAAATAATCTGAAGTTAAATATGTTTAAAACAAAAGTGTTTTAAAAAGGAGAGAATGAAAAACCACCCAGCAACCTGGAAAATTATGATAATCCCAGCTTTACATTGTCTATGATAGATCCCCCACATATTTAGCATAATTGTCCAATCTACAGCAACTCAAATTCCTCAAATCTTGGCATCATAAAGTCAAATCAAATATTTATTACAGTCAAATATCAGCACAAGGAGGATGGGGTCAAAAGGTGGTCATCCCTGTTTTGTAGAAACACATAAATTACAAAAAATATAGTTTCATTCAGTGTCATAGAGTACTGAAATTAAAAATGTGTAACTGTCAGTATTATACCTATGCAAAAAAAAATTCACATGCAGTCAATTAAGAGAAGAGTTAAAAGAAATACATTGTTTGTATATGTGTTGGATGTAATGGACAAGAAGCATGGGAAAGAATGGTTTCTGAGAAGCTGATCCATACATTGCAGCATAAAACATTGAGGAGGCACACAGATAGCCATTTTAATAGAAATTGTCCAATATGATCTGGAATACTCTTACTTCAGTTTAGGAGGAATTCTACCAATGCTACAATCCAGAAATTGATTTCTTTAATATGTTAAATCTGACATAATAGAAAGAATAATTTCTTTTCATTAAGAAACTGCTATAGAAGTGCTATAGAAGTTTTTTTAATGCTTAGTTGTCAAAACACTGTGTAAGTTCCTCCAAGATCAAGACTATGGTAATGATCTTGTAAGAACATTTTAAAAGAATAAGATTACCTGTATAGGCATGGCCTTGTTAACATTAAAAATTCTTGAGGACATAACATTCATGTTAAATGAGGAAAGTTTATCTTATATTTTTCAATATACAATAGCCAGAGTTATCAGTGCAAATCTCCAGATCCAGGAAATGCCAATTCATATTTTGGGAGCTCTTCTTTATGTGTGATGGCCAGCAATGATCATTCTTTATTTCTTAAAAATCAATTTGTCTAAGTCCCAAATTAAATATTACAGTTGCAATATTGCAACTTGCCTGAATTGTGTTTCAATATTTTACATTCTAGATTCAAGCCAATAATATTGCCAGTCTCCTTTTAGCTGTTTTCCATCATTATGCAAATGACACCAATAACATCAGAGAGAGGCCTTTGCATAGGTCCTCTGGTTACATTTGACATGCACTAGGAAGATGGTGGGCTGGTTTGTCATGAGGCCTATTTCAGGGCCTACCACTGTGGGTAACCTGAACTTATGCAGTTGCTTGGAGGTATTGCAACATCAGGAAAGCCACCTGTAGAACTATGCAGAAGGACAGACTTCCAGAGCATATAATAACATAAGCACTATTGCTCCCTTCTTCTTCTCTCTTTTCATCTCACTCCCAGCATTCCCAATAAATGGCATGTTGAGCAGTCAGGAAAGAGCAAGAAGGACAAAATGGCTGCCTAGGGACTTGGCAGACAGGCATCAGGTTAAATAATCAGAGCCAAAGCTTAAAAGGGTTAAAATTAAAAGATAGGCAGCCCAGCTGAGAAAAAGGAAACAGGAAATGAAGCACACCTAAAACAATTAGGAAGAGAAAGGCTTTTTTCTCCTTACCTCAGACCTTGCATGAAGGAAAAATTATTCCAGCTGATTCCCTTGGATTGAGCAAAGAGGAAAAATGAGCCTTCAGCCAAGAAAAAAAAGAAGAAGAATAGAAGAAGAGGAGGTAAAACAAAAATTGAAATTTGAAAAGAAAAAGATAAAAAAAGAGACTGAAGTTTTCAGGAAAAGGGGTATAGTTCTGTAGAAAATGACAATAGATATATAGGAGGCTGTATACATATATACATGGACAAAAACATACAAATATGAAGAGGCAATGAAATCCAACTGTAAAGAATATCCTCTCCAAGGTGGGGGTAGTATGGGTGATTAAAGTATAGTTTTAGTAATATGTTTTTCTGTTTTGTTAAATAAAATTCTGTCTGCCCCAGCCATTGAAGAAGAATTTTTTAAAAAACCCTATCCAATCATCCATTTTTTCTCCTTATTGAGTCTAAGTAGATCTGGTTATTTGTGATTCAAAAGAAAGCTGCAACTTGTGTGAAGGACACTTTTTGTGGTGAGTTGGGCAGTGGGAACTGGCAAGAATGCAAATGGTGGGCTCACTCCCACTGCTTTTTTGCTTGCTTTTGGT